GAGGAGATAATCCTTCTGCGCCTTCGAATATGTCAATGCCATTTCTCTGAAGAATATCTTCTCCGCCACAATCCACTCCCTACGTGCGATAACTGCAGACCAGATCTTACAATGAGCTTGAGACAGCCGCTGAAGGGATGACCTTGTCGAATCTCTTTTAGAAATCCTTGGTAACGAATAACAATCTTCATTAAGCTCTTCAGCTTTTTATGGGAAAGCGGTATTTGTAGCCTGATCTGAGAGAGAATAAAATGTTCACCTTGCTCCTTTTGTGCAGAATCTTATATTTTGTACTAAAGTATATGCTTGTTTTCTTTGGGCATTTTCTTTTGCTTTTTAATAATGTTTTAGTTTAAAACTGTACATTTTCATATGATAAGGCTGCTAATGATCTTAGATGGTGAATCGCTGTTAAATCTTAATCATGATCATCATCCAGCAAATGTGCCAAATTTAATTCGAAAATGTAGTTCAGAAAGATTTTGAAACACATTATTACCGTGTATAGTAGGTCCCTCTTCCGAAATGTCCCATTTTTACAATTAATGAGCATATCCTGGCTTTTCGACTTCACAAATTTTAATTAAATATGCTCCAAATTAATAATAAGAAAAGTTATCTTGACACTTTCAATTAATTTAAGATAAATTTTTTGTAAGTACCTTCATTTAAATGTTTAAATTGTGTTGTATAAATTGATTTGTATTCATATTTATTGAACTCAAGCTTATTTCTTTCTTTTTTCCTACTTTCTTTTTTAGTCGGCTGATAGACCAGGCCTATTTCAATTAAAAGAACGTAAATGTGACAGACGAAGAGAGAAATATTGCGAAAAGTTGCTGAAGTGAATACGTTTGAATTTCAGAAGAGGACTGCCTCATTGTCAAATCATTGGTGGTTTTAATTTACGGGACTCAGCAAACTAAGTTGTCAATGTGTTCAAACTACCAAACAAACGGCAATTTCTTGGATGCCAGGCCAAGATTCGAAATAGGCTGTAGAGACATTGAAGAAAAAAAGTGTTGCAGTGTAATCGCGTAATAGTTTTTCCTGCTTCAGACCTTTGTGATTAAAGTTATTGTTTGCTCAGTGAACGTATGGTGTATTAAAAACTGGTTTTGAAGATGTAAAAGAATTTAATGTAAATTTCTAGTTAGTCTTCGATTGTAGTTTTCTAAGAGGTAAAGGTATTAAACTTTTATATATCCTTGAAAACAAACTTAACTAAAAAAATATTGATGGCACTTGAAATAACGCCCGTGCGTGTTGGAACTTTAAATAGTCTTGTTACAACTATTCATGTTCGCTCGCAGTGCCCCTGCCTATAGACTACCACCTACGCGCACGAAGCGAGCAGCATAGCATCTCCAGGCGTCAGTTTCCTTCATGGTATACTAGCGCTGTCAGTGGAAGCGGGACAAGAAGGAACTGCATATTCTTCTGCGATGTGTAAAAGTTGCGCTCTCTACCAGACATGCTTCTAACTAAGCAAACTGAAAGATGTGGAGCTAATCAACTTTGCTCTTACCTGTTGTTCTTCCCCTTCTTGTACTTAATTAGGTTGTCGTTGAATGGTAAGGATTAACGAAATCTTAGCAGTCGATGATACTCACCGGAAGGTATCTTTCGATTTGGTGTGACGTTCTGAGTGGCGTATATATTGCAAAGTAGATGCAGAATCCTTCGCTGCCGGGGTATTTATCACAAGTCTCTCGTAGAAGGGAAAAGGAATGTTTTCTATTTATATTGTATTCCCACCTTGTCTGGAAGTGCACCGCCCTCATCCACTGTGGTCTGCCGCATTCGGTACCACCCCTGTCTCGCCTGATCTTACTCTGCCCCGTCCCACCCGCGGGACTGTGTCCTGCTAGCCCTCAAGAGTCTCGGCACCACTTACCCCGCCCAGCCCTACCATGTCAGTGTCCTACCTACCAGCCCTACGATCACTATTACTATTATACTCGTTGTTTTGTGAGCTGTGAACGCATGCACACCGTTGCACACTCCTAACAAACACGCACTAACAATTGGAACCTTCAATTACTCAAAGCTTAAACTAATGAAAGGAATCAAAATACATTTCATAGGAAATATTACAGACTTTAAGGATTGTTTAATTCACTTCGAACAATTTACCCAGCTTTTATGAAATATTCCCGCAAAGCTGTAAGATTTGAGCCAATCACAAAGTTTTAATCGATAAGGAAGGAAAAATAGTGATACTTTTAAAAATATCATTCAAACAGTAATTTTCTCTTGTATTGAAGGTCATATGTACAAAATTTAAACACGTTCGGAATAAAACCGTGTACTTTTGTGAATGACAGTCTCTAAGGGACAATATTCATTTTAAAAAAGTATCCTAGGTTATGCCCGACAAAACACCCTACTTTTCAGTAAAAACCGCATCTAAGTAGGGCATTCCAGATAATACTGGGATAAACTGACACAAAATCTAAAATTACATTTAATTTTCTTATTGAAAAATAATATTTCAGTAGTAAAAGGTAGTAATTTTGAAATCAGAAACCGACACTCCCATTTTATTTTTGTAGTGGCAGGTGCCGATCTTGTTTGTTTCTTAATATTTTATTTATAATATAGAGTATTTAGATGAGTTTCACCAACAATAATTTAATCAATTTATAGTTGACAACTCGAAACATGTCTGAAGTCTTCATGAAATTAACTTACTCGTAAGAGACCAGTGTCGAAAACAATTTTCATCTAATATTCTTTGTTTGTGTTTCAGGTACGGTGGCATTTGCATTGTGCGTAGCAGTCGTCAAACGTCTGGTAGTGTCGCAGTTTTGAGTTATCTCAGAAAGGCGTGATGTAAGTTGATTGTTAAATAGTGTTTTCCAATTGTAGTGCGCGTTGTTTGAAATGTAAAATAGTTATTTTGATGTGTGTGATGTTTTCAACTGGTAAGGAGTGTTGTGTTACGATAGTGTTAGTGTCATGATGTTATATTGTTATCGTAGAACGTAGAGAGGAATTTTGTATATCGAACTATTGCTAGCATTTTTCAGTTCGTGCAGGAGGTAAGCAGACCAATATATCCCTCATAAGGTTTCGAGCAAATATAAATCAGCAAGATTATGATTATGATGTTGAACGATTCATTACACAATAGTATATTAGCATGTTAAAATTGCATGGAATGCATAGAATCTCGAAATCGGTCTGGGATGAGTGTTTTGCTACATTTTTTCTGGCAAATCCCCAGAAGAGCTATGAAAAATAATCTGGAGAAGGACTCGAATAGGTTTCTTCACCAAAAGATGTCGACTTCTCCCTTCCTTTCTCCAATTTCACTCGCCTTATTTCCTATTCCCATTCTCTCAGGAATTCGCCTCTTTTCGCCATGCACGACCTTCCTCACAGCACTACGTCACGATTCTCTCTCCAGCCTTTCGCCTTACCTTACCTTCCCTAATCTTAACGCAGCTCTGACGTGCCGCGCGTGAAGTTTGTTCATTGACCCATGAATCGCCGCCGCTCGTGGCGTATTTGCTGGCAACGAGCCCCTTCCCTCGCCCCATGCGTATTCCTAGTGTTCACGTGTACTTGATTGTTGTAATTGATTGTATGATTTTTTTTCTGAGGAATGAAATGAATAGAAATAATTTTAAATTGAATATCATTGAAAGAATTTAAATAACTTACCTTCATTTGAAATTTTTTCATGCTTTCCCGGAGACACCATTATTAGCAACACTATTATTTTAGCAGAAATATTCAGAACGAATCTTAATGGCATTACAAGAAAAGTCATTCATTTTGAAATAATAAATGCAATTTTTATACCATTATTTTGGCTTTTTTAAAGATTGGTGTGTATCAGCGCCAAGCACCTCTGTACCTAACGTTACCTTTATGATTAGCTCCATATTAGACTTGAAAAGTAGAGTAGTATTCTACTTCATAGTTTGAAAGGGGAATAGAGATTTTAAATATGCATTGGTTTTGAAAAACCTCCTGCGGTTCCAAATCTAGATTATGAATAGACTGTACAGGTCGCAGAGCATTTTACCAAATAATAAGAGTTTGATGAAATGAGAACATGTACGAATACGTATTTTGAGATCAGAAAGAATGGGTCAGAATTGGACAGTTCGAGGAGACACCAATAGCAAAGCTAGTAAAGTCAGTATTCCGTTTCAAATCGTAAAATAATCTTGGCTGATTATCTTCCCAAAGAACGCGCAAAATATGATTAAATTTACTAATGTATACTATTGTACTTCACATTTGTCTTGTGCTATGAATGTTGAACTTTATAAAGAAAATTTCGTTTTCGTTAGGGAAATTGCATTTCACTAATCGGATATTTTGGTTTCTCGTACATATGTTCTCAGCCCTACTCTCAAAACATTTAATCGTGTATTTAATCCTGCTTTACCTTTCGTATTGTAGCTACAGAGATTCGCTGCACCTTCTATGATGTACATTTTTGTGAAATGTAATGCTGTGCCTTTATGTATTTGTTTTAAGCATCTGCGTCAATTTCTGAAAATTCTTAAATTTTCCTTTACAATAGTCTTCAGTTTTGATGAGTAAAACACGTCATGCATAACGCCTTGAAAGTTTATAGAACGTGTTTTAATTCATTATTAAAATATAATTACACGCAATATCATTATAAATGTACAAATAATTACAATATATGAACATGGATTTGGTTACATTACAAATGATGAAAGATAGGGGAAGACCAGCTTACGTTGGAAAGGGACTAGAGGCATTACATTGGTCGTTCACAATCTTGGTTCAAATCATTTCTGAGCAATTTGTGGCCATTTATCATTCCTTCACATTTGGCTGCACTTCTTTGTTGAATGTGCCGCTAATGTCTCTGGCGTAAAAGTCGTGTTGTAATCACAAAAAGTGTTGATTCGCACGTTTCTGAATTCACTTTCGGCACATACAATTCCAGTCTTACCTGAGCTAAAAAATTAACACTGAATATCCCGCACTTCGTTGAACAAACGCAATCGTCACTTTCCTTTGGGTGGCTTCAACCAGTCTTCCTTGATGAGATCGGCGCCCTTCTCGCCTATCATGATGACGGGCGCATTGGTGTTGCCGCTGACGATGGTGGGCATGATCGATGCGTCGATGACCCGCAGGCCGCGCACGCCATACACCCGCAAGCGCGGATCCACCACAGCCTCCGGGTCGGATGGCGGGCCCATCTTGCAGGTGCCCACCGGGTGGTAGATGGTCATGGTGGTGGTGCGGATGGCGCACTCCCAGTAGGCGTCGGAGGCGAACCTGTGGCGCCGGCAGTTGGGCAGCGGGACGCGGTACAGGCGGGAGCCGTAGGCGCGCATGGCGCGCGAGTCGGCGATGCGCAGCGCGAACTTGACGCCCTCGACGAGCGTCGCCACGTCGAAGGGGTCGGCGAAGTAGTTGGCGTTAATGACCGGGTAGTGGAAGGGATTGGCGCTGCGCAGACGCACCCACCCGCGAGAGCGCGGCCGCAGGAGCAGAGGCATCAGCGTGTACGTGTCCCTGTTGGAGATGGGCCTATACACGCTGTTGTACACGCGGTCGGTGATGCCGAGCACTTTGCGGACGCGCACCCCGTCGTCGGAGTTGATTGAAGCCGGCGCAAAGTGGAACTGGATATCCGGGTAAGTGCCGGACTTGTTGGCGTACTTGGTGTTGATGAACGCCAGGCCCTCCACGCCGCCCAAGGTAGTCATGGGACCGCGCTCGTGGATGATGTACTGCATGGTGACGGGCACGGTCTGGAACCGCTCTTGCACGATCGCCACCGGCTTGTTTACCAAGAACGTGAGCCCGCCAAGCCCCACGTGGTCCTGCATGTTCTCCCCGACCGGCGCGTCCTTCACTACGGGGATGTTAAATTTGCGCAGTTGTGCGGCGGGCCCGATGCCAGACAGCATGAGGATCTGCGGGGAGTTGATGGCGCCCGCGGAGACGATCACCTCGCGCTTGGCGTATACGATTTGGCGCACGCCGTTGCGCACGAACTCGACGGCGTGCGCGCGCCGCGTCTTGGGGTGGATGAGCACGCGGGTCACGTGCGACTTAAGCGCGATGTGCAGGTTGCTGCGCAGGCGCGCTGGCCGCAGGAAGGCCTTGGCGGTGGAGCAGCGCGAGCCGCGCCGGATTGTGCCCTGCGCCAGCATGAAGCCCGTCTGCTCCTCGCCGTTGATGTCGCGGTTTTGGTAGCCAAGCTCCGTGCCCGCTTGGACGAAAGCTATCGCTAACGGAGTCCTCCACGGGGATTCCTGCACTGTCAGGTAGCCTCCCGATGAGTGATACTTAGTCCTTGCGAGGTACGGATTGCGGTTGTCTTCTGACTTTTTGAAGTATCGCAATGCCTCTCGTGCACCCCAGCCGGGGTTTCCCAGCGCCTCCCAGTGGTCGTAGTCGTGGTGGTTGCCACGCACGTAAAGCATGTAGTTGAGCACGCTGGACCCGCCCAGCACCTTCCCGCGCGGCCAGTTGCAGCGGCCGCCCTTCAGTCCCAGGCAGGCCCTCCCCGTGGGTTCCGTTTTGTACTGCCAGTCCATCTGCGACAGCTGCAGGTAAGCGGCGAGCGAGGGTACGTCTGAGATTTCGTTCTCGTCGCCGCCGGCCTCCAGCAGCAGCACGCTCCAGTGCGGCACCTCGGAGAGGCGCGCCGCCACCACGGCGCCCGCCGACCCACCGCCCACCACCACGAAGTCGTACGTCTTGTACAGCGGGTAGCGGTCGATGGGGCGCGACTCGGGGTCCAACGCCTCGTAGCGGTAGTAGGCCATCCCTGCAATGAGCAGCGGGATCAGCCACAGGCTTGTGCCGACCACTCCGAAGGCCGTCTTCAGCGCCGTCGTCGCGGCGAGCACTCCCAGCAGCATAGTGTCACTTTCGCTTCACTTATCACTCGGATACAAACCGCAGAACAGCATGCACACTCGGTAATAATCGCACAACTCTTTTGTCTATCACTTCAGTGCAATGCCCAGTTATTATTTAGATATCTATAAAATCTTAGGTTGTCTGTTGCGAAGGTCCACTTGAACAGAGGTGTGAGGTAACTTGGAAGCGAGGGCGGGTGGCAGCGCGAAGGCCGCCCCCGCGGCGCGCGCGGCGTGGGCGGCGTCTGCTTCCGCGCGGCCGGCGGCT